AGCATTTTAGTTACTTGTTCTGTAGAGGAGAATTAAAGCAAATAGGAATAAAGCATAGATGGCATTTCCTGTCAATTGAGGTATGAAAATGATACTCAGGATGTGCATGGGTCTTGCAATAATGTATATTCAGATGATAATACATTCTTTTGTCATGTGAACTGGGAGTCAGGAGATCTCTGGATTTTTTTTCCTGCCTTTGCTACTAACTGACTTTCAGAAAAGCCTTTTAACCTCTCCTCAAATGAAAGGATTATACTCTGTTTTCTTAAAAGTTTGTTCTGGCTCTAAAATTTTAATGACACATTGCCTCCACCAAAGTCTTACTCCAGTATCTCATCATGGCACAGGAATGCACCTAAGTCCTGAAAGGCTTTGCTACCAAGCTGGAAAAGCTTCAAGTACGTGGTTAGGGATATACTGCATCTGCTATCTGAGAATGAAACTAAGGTCAGAAAAGCTCCATTGCCAAGTTGGACCCTGCACAATGAATTTTTTGACCATATCAATTCTCAAAGATAGGGTTTCTAATTGCATTGGTGGAGAAAGCACGCGTACTAATGAAATCTTTTTGGTTGTTCAGTCATTTCGGTCATATCCGACTCTGTGAACCCTTTTGGGGTTTTTTGGGCAGAGATACTAAAATGGTTTGCTGTTTCCTTCTCTGGCTCATTTTACAGATGAGGAACTGAGACAAACAGTGTTAAGTGACTTGCCAGGGTCCCACAGCTGGCAAGTGTCTGAGGCCACATTTGAACTCAGAAAGTTGAGTCTTCCTGACTTAATGCCTGGCACTCTACCCACTACATCACCTAGCAGCCCAAAATGAAATCTTAGTGTCCTGAAATATTGAAGTATATAGGGGCAGCTAGATGGCACAGTGGATAGAGCACCAGCCCTGAAGTCAGGAGGACTTGAGTTCAAATCTGGCCTCAGACCAAACACTTGACATGTATTAGCTGTGTGACCTTGGGCAAGTCACTTAACCCCAACTGCCTTACCAAAAAAAAAAAAAAGAAATTAAGTATATGGTTCACCATATCATTACACTCCTTTAAAGGTAGGACATATTTAAGTTAGTTGATAAACATTAAATATCTACTATGTGCCAAGCACTATGTTAAGTGCTGGAGATACAAAAAGAGCCAAAAGATAGTCCCCATCCTCAGGGAGCTCACAGACTGACGGAGGAGACAACAAGCAAACAAATGGGTACAAACAATCTATATCCAGGATAAACAGGAAATAATTAGTAAAGGAAAGGCACTGAAATTAAGAGGGGCTGAGAAAGACTACCTGTAGAAAATGGGATTTTAGTCAGGACTTTAGGGAAGTCATTTTGGTGGCTGAGTGGAGGATAGATTGGAGTGGCTAGAGATGAGTCGGGTGACCCACTAGAAAGCTATTGAAATAGTCCAAGCCTTAGAAAATGAGGATCCACACCAGAGTGGTAGCGGTGTCAAAGGAGAAAAGGGGACATATTTGAGAGATGTTGCATCAGTAAAATCAACAGGCCTTGGCAACAGCTTGGATATTGGGGGTGAGAAATAGAAGAGTTGAGGATGACACCTAAGTTGTGAGCCTGAGGGACTGGGAGGATAGTGTTGCCCTTTTCAGCAGTAGGGAAGGGATGAGAGAGGGAGTGTTTAGGGAGAAAGGTAATGAGTTTGGTTTTGGACATGTTGAGTTTAAAATGTCTCTTGGACATCCAGTTCTAGATGTGTGAAAATCTAGTTTAAGAAACAAACATTTGATGGAAGAATCAAAATTGCTTTGTCAAAGGATATAAACAGGCAGTTTTCAAAGGAAGAAATCCAAGTTATCAATGACCATATGAGAAAATGCTACAAATCACCAATAATAAGAGAAATGAAAATTAAAGTAACTTGAAGTTCTACCCATCAGATTGTCAAAGAGGAAAAGGGCCCATATGTACAAAAGATATTTATAATAGCAAAAAAACTGGAAACTAAGAGTATACTCATCAACTGGGGAATGGCCAAACAAATTATGGTATAAGAATATAATGGAATATTATTATAACATAAGAAATGGCAAAATGGATGGTTTCAGAGAAAACTGGGAAGACCTATATGTACTGATGCAGAATGAAATGAGCAGAACCAGAACAATTTACACAGTAACATCATTATTGAGAGACTTGAGAACTCAGATCAATGCAATGACAAACCACAATTCCAGAGGTCTGAAGATGAATTAAACTACCCATTTCCTTACAGATGAGGGAATGGACTCAAGATTCAGAATGAGACATGCATTTTTGAACTTGGCCAATGCAAGAAATGGCTTTTCTAGACTAGGCATATTTGTTATGAGGGTTTTATTTTTTTTCTGTCGTTCATTTGGACAGAGAGAATAAAGTAGGAAAAAGAGAAAGCTTGTTAGTTGAAAAATTTTTAAAACTCAGATACCCCCAAAATAATAAATAAATAGCTGCATAATTTTTAACCAGTTCTTTTGAACTATTTTTCCTAATAAAATGTGTCATGTTTTTTATAAGTTCTTCAACAGCCGATTTTCACTTATGTAAGTTCCCTTTTAAAACCAACAGTTCAGCTGGAATGGGCATTTCCCCAAAACATTGAGATCTATTATTGAATAATCTCAGATGGTGCAGCTGTACTAAAAAAGCCTGTTTCTCAATGAACAATTTCCATTAATGTCATTTGAAAGTGTTGCATAATTTCCATCCGTGCTACATAAAGATGATTTTGTAGGAGAGCTTTGAATACCTTTTATATGTAAAATGTTTAAGTAAGATGGTACTTTACTAGAACTAATCAGTGTTTTACTGCATAGACAGCTTGTGTAGTAGATAACATGTCAAAGTTGAAGTCAGGAAAAATCTAAGTTCAAATTCTGCCTTAGATGCTTGCTGGCAGTATATCCATGGACAAGTCAGTTAACTTCTCTCAATTCAGTTACCTCATAGGTAAAATAGCTGTAACAATGGCACCTAACTCACAGGGTTGTTGTAAAGATCAAATGAGATAACATATATAAAGCACTTTATTAAGGTGCTTTATTAGTGTTAACTTAGTATTGTTATTATTGTTGGTCCATTTATCATTTAAGAAATATGGCTAAATATGTCTACATGTAGTTCAAGCTACAGTTGTCATGCATGTTTAGTATTTGACTTAACCTGGACAAGTTTCCTAAATGTCTCTGTTCTTTATCTTTATACTTTTTAATCATATTCTTCAGATTGTTAGGATATATCAGGTAAAACTAATAAAATTTCTGTGCATAGTAATACATAAAATATCATAAAATCACAGTGTTCATAAAACATTAGATCATGTTATAAAATTATTGAATGTTATTTTAAAAGCCCACGTATAATTTAAGTATGCCTTTGAGTAGAAAATTGAGGATAAAAATTTCTCTCTTTTATTTTACTGGCAAAAAACATTATTAGACTCTTGCTGCCATCTCTTTATAAAATCAAAGTCCTTGTCTTTTTCTATGGTGATTTTTGAGCCATTATCATTAACTTCATATTGTTAATGTAAGGGAGCCATGCTTCAATTTTTTCTCTTGGAATAGTGTATTCTTAGATAATATTCTAAATCTTGTTTTCATTGCTTTGTATCTTTTTTAATCTTCAAATTAGTTTATAATGATATATTTTTGTCAATATTAAACATTTGAAATTAATTAAATATATAAATTTTAACAAGCTACAGTGATTCAAAATCTGATTTTTTCAAATAGTATGTTTGCTTGTGCTTTTTTTCCTTTTTAAAAGGCTGAGTGTGTATGTGTATATGCATGCACAAACATATGGTTGTAGATATAAACTATCTACATGTTTTGTAGTCATCCTAATTTAGTATAATAATTCAAAGTATTTCAGTTGGT